TTGACATTTGCTTTCCAGAGTAGGCTCATTTAATATTCACAAAGAAAGTTATGTGATGGGAGCTTGTTAACTCTGAGAACAGAGAGTAAGCTGTCCAGGCCACTTCACCTGACACAATTAGGCTCTGAGTTGTAGGTCACATTACCATAAGCAGCTCTAGCACTCTCTGGTGTCCTCCTGTGAGCATCCCTGCAAAGCTCCATGTGCCCTTCTTGGTTACTGCTTGTAATGAATTAAATATATGTTAGTGCCACTGACTTCCATCAGCTGAGCTATGATGGGAAAAAACCTCACTTGTAACATTGATGAAACTGTACTAGTTCTAATCCTTAAAAAAGGGCCACAAACTCAAAGGCCTACAGGGGTGAGTGAAGTTGACTTGAGGTGGGGATGGTGGCAAACTGTCTAAAGGGACATGCCTTGTCTGAAGGGGAACCCATTACTCAGCTATGCCCATCACAACTATGCAGAAATGTAGGGCTGCTATTGCCAGCATTTTCGATTTTTCAAGAAGCCCCAAATTCATATATATATGTGATATATATGATATATATCTCATATATATGAAATATATGCTATATATGAAATATATATATTTCATATACATGATATACAGAATATATATGAAATATATATATTTCATATACATGATATATATAGAATATATATGAAATATATGATATCTATATCTATGAAATATATATTATATATATGTGAAATATATATTTATTATTATTATTATTATTTTGAGACAGAGTCTTACTCTGTCACCCAGGCTGGGAGTGCAGTGGCGTGATCTCAACTCACTGCAACCTCCACCTCCCAGGTTCAAGTGATTCTCCTGCCTCAGCCTCCCAAGTAGCTGGGACTACAGGCACCAAACGTGGCTAATTTTTATATCTTTAGTAGAGATGGGGTTTCACCATGTTGGCCAGGCTGGCTTTGAACTCCTGATCCGCCCTCCTTGGCTTCCCAAAGTGCTGGGATTACAGGCGTGAGCCATCGTGCCCAGCCCAAATTCATATTTTATACAGAATCTTCTGATTTATAAATGTGGGCAACTGATTGTAAAAAATTGGAAAAAACACTACGACCTCTACAGAATCCGGACCCATAAATCTGTTTCTCCATCTGGAAGGGAACTTGAGAGTCTTCCAAGTTCAGTGCCTTCACTTGACAGATGGGGAAAGTGAATCCCAAAGTGGACAAATGATGTTCCTATGGCCAAATAACTAGTTCAGTGCCAGAGCCAGATCTAAAAGAATACTTGCTTGCTGTCTCGTCGATCACTTTTCACTCCACCAATGAGAAAAATGTTAGTGGCTTTAGGCATAGTTTAAAAGTTAGAGATGAGGAGCTCACTGGCATGTACCTGCAGTCCCAGCTACCTGGGAAGCTGAGATGGGGGGATCACTTGAGCCCAGAAGTTCAAGTCTCGCCTGGACAAGATAGCAAGACCCCATTTCTTTAAAAAAAAAAAAAAGTTATCAGACCCAAGTCTGGATTACAGTGTACCTAGAACATCATTGACTGGCCAGTCTACATTTTTACTCTCTCTGGCTTTTGGACAATGTATTACGAGGCATTGTGTTACTATATGAGGCAATGAAGTAGTATTAGGGCAGAATTTTGGTTCTAAATTGATCTTTCCCCTCACCTGGAGCATTGCACTGCAGCATGGCCCTGCCACATGGAAGGTGGGGCCACCATGTTCCCATTGTGTTCCCACAATTGTTACGATTGTGAGTCCAAGACAAGCAAGGCTCACTCAGCAGGAGGAAATTAAATACAAAACCTACATTCACATAACACCCGCGTTAACCTCAGTGGGAGCTGTGCTTTCAGGAATTGCAGGGTCAGCAGCTGAAGAGAAACTGGAATGAAACAGTAAAGCTCATCATAGGTTATTGTTAGGATTGTATAATTCCAGCTGCTAATTTGCAAAAGAATTTTTTTTTTTTTTTTTTTTTTTTTTTTGAGAGACAAGGTCTTGCTCTGTCACCCAGGCTGGAGTGCAGCAGCATGATCATAGTTCACTGTACCCTCAAAAAGAGTTCATTTTCACCCTAGTGAGATCTCCCGCTACTGACTTTCAGACAAAAGAACCTTTGTTTGGACCCAAACTGTGGTGCGTGGTTGAGTAAAATTGGCAAATCACAGAAGTCAGGACAGGTACCAACAAAGTTTAAAAAATACACTCAGCAGTTTTTGTCCTCTTGGCCCATGGGGTTCATAATACTCCATTTTAGCAAACAGTGCCTAGGACAGTTCCTGGTACACAGGAGATAATTACTATTTAGCGAATGAATGAAAGAAAGGATAGACAGTTCCCATGCCTTGCCAGACTCATTTAATGTAATTCCCATATTAACATGGCGGAATGAGTGACTACCTCAGCTGCTTCCGTGGAGCTATCCAAGTAAAGGCCAAGAATAAATAGGAGGAGCAGGCTCTGGGGCTGTCTTGGCACAAAGCCATGCCCTTTTCAGCTATGCATGACTGGATGTGGGGGTGGGGGCCTGTTGAGGCTACTGCTGGGACTCCCTGAGTTGGTAAGCTGAAAAGTTTCTGCAGGCTTCCATGATTTTTTTTTTTTTTTTTTTTTAATTTTTTAGGCTGGGCACAGTGGCTCACGCCTGTAATCCCAGAACTTTGGGAGGCCAAGGCAGGTGGATCATGAGGTCAGGAGTTTAAGACCACCCTGGCTAACATGGTGAAACCTCGTCTCTACTAAAATTACAAAAATTAGCTGGGTGTGGTGGCACACGCCTATAATCTCAGCTACTCAGGAGACTGAGGCAACAGAATCACTTGAACCTGGGAGGTCAAGGTTGCAGTGAGCCAAGATCATGCCACTGCACTCCAGCCTGGGCAACAGAGCAAGACTCTGTCTTGAAAAAAATAAAAAATAAAAAAAATAAAAATTTTATTTTTTAGAGATGGGATCTTGCTAAGTTGCCCAGCCCAATCCCATTACTCAACATCTTTTTGGGGAACTGAGAGCTCAGAATGACAAGTAAAAAACTAATACCTTCTCCTTGTAAATGCAAAAAAGCCTAATAAACCAAATAAACAAAACACCTCCCTTTCTTTTTTTTTCTGAGACAGAGTCTCGCTCTGCCACCCAGGTTGGAGTGCAGTGGTGGGATCTCGGCTCACTGCAACCTCCACTTCCCAGGTTCAAGCGAGTCTTGTGCCTCAGCCACCTGAGTAGCTGAGATTATAGGCGTTGGCCACCATGCCTGGCTAATTATTGTATTTTTAGTAGAGACAGGGTTTTGCCATATTAGCCAGACTGTTCTTGAACTCCTGGCCTCAAGTGATCCACTCACCTCAGCCTTCCAAAGTGCTGGGATTACAGGCATGAACCACCACACCCAGTCAACAAAACACCCTTTAATCAGTTCCCCCCAAGCAGGGCCATCTTGTGCTCATGAAGAGCAAAGTATGCTTATTCTAGCTGTACCATTGTAGCTAATGCTGTAATGTACCATTTTCACATTAAAGTAGGTTATGACTAGATAGATACGGCACTCTAGAACCAAGCAAGCATGTTTAAAATCAAGGTCATGGAGGTGAATAGGACTTAAAAAGATACTACCTAGTTCTTTCCTCTGTCTGTAATAGTAAGTTAGGCTCTATAGCTGAACCTACTCAAAAATCTGATAATTTCTCCATATTAAACAGCTTTCTTAAAACAGATGTCTATCCTATGGCATCCATTCCAATGTTTTACATGCCTTGAAATTCTCAAACCCCTAGTTCAAAATCTCCTGGACCATGCCATGCCCCTGGTTCTTTTTGTACTGAGCCCAGGGCAACTGGTTGACATCAAAACCCTTGATTGGTTGAAGGCTGTTTGTTTATTTATTTTTATTTTTTGTTTTTGAGACAGAGTCTCGCCCTGTTGCCCAGCCTGGAGTGCAGTGGCGCGATCTTGGGTCACTGCAACATCTACCCACTGGATTCAAGCAATTCTCGTGCCTCAGCCTCGAGTAGCTGGGATTGCAGGCACGCACCACCACGCTGAGCTAATTTTTTGAATTTTTAGTAGAGACAGGGTTTCACCATGTTGCGCAGGCTGGTCTCGAACTCCTGAGCTCAAGCAATCCACCCACTTCAGCCACCCAAAGTGCTGGGATTACAGGTGTGAGCCACTGCACCCGGCCTGAAAGCTGTTTTTTAAAAACTGAATTATCCAGCTCCTGATGATAATGACCATGACTTATACCTCTCTGTGTCCTCCAATAAAGTCTTCAAGTACAGCTGGAATTCAAGTTATTTACCATCCTTGAACCTTTCTTTAATGTTCTTAATATTCTTTAACTATGGAAAAACTAGATCTATCATTTTGCTAAAAGTTTAACCAGGACACCTTATAAAGAAAAAGAAAACTTACCATGTTTACATCTCTTTCTTCCCTCCCCTCCCCTCCCCTCCCCTCCCCTTCCTCTCTCTCTCTTTCTTTGACAGAGTCTCACTCTGTCACTCAGGCTGGAGTGCAGTGGCGCGATCTTGGCTCACTAAAACCTCCACCTCCCAGGTTCAAGCAATTCTCGTGCCTTGGCCTCTGGAGTAGCTGGGATTACAGGCACATGCCACCACACCCGGCTAAGTTTTGAATTTTTAGTAGAGATGGGGTCTCACCATGTTGGTCAGGCTGGTCTCGAACTCCTGACCTCAAGTGATCCACCCGCCTTGACCTCCCAAAGTGCTGGGATTACAGGCATGAGCCATCATGCCCAGCCTATTTATTTGTTTTTTAGAGACAGGGTCTTGCTCTGTCACCCAGCTGGAGTGCAGTGGTGCGATCATAGCTCACTGCAGCCTGGAAATCCTGGGCTCAAGCGATCCTCTTGCTTCAGCCTCCCCAGTAGCTGGGACTACAGGTACACACCACCATGCCTGGTCATTTTTACATCTTTTAGCTCTCTTTTTAAAAAACGATCGAACTCTATTCCTGATCCAGTTAGGATAATTTACAACAGATAATCACTATGTCATCAGTCATTAGGGTGAGATATTTATTATTCATTTGTTTTCTTGAGATACTTGATTCAAAGATGTTTATGATTAATTTGTTTTCTTAATTCTATTGCAAAAAAAGGAAAAAGAAAAATAAAAGCATTTGCTTAAAAGCTACCTCAAAAGTTCTCTTACCAAACATGATTTGGCAATCTTTGGCATGATTAGTATGATGGCAGTAGGAGCTTTGTTTAATAAGCAAACATGATGAAAAGTCCAAAAAGTGCCATGCAAAAGATCAGAAGGAAGATATTTTTCCTGAGCCCCTCTGCCAACTGTTATTTCTTCTGATGCCTTTCCTGCTTCTTAAACAAGCCTTAAGACAGCTTCTCTGTTCCATTTCTGACCACTACGTGGCACCAGAACTTTGAATTAGGAAATAGAAAAAAGTCTGCTTAACTAGTCTTCATATGATTTGCTGTGAATCTTTAATCAATGCCTTGTGAAAAAATTCATTTATTTTTTTCAGTGATTTGGAATATGGTGGCTCTCTGCCATTTGTTGTTGTTGTTTTTCTTTTTTTTTGATTTTGAGACAGAGTCTTGCTCTGTTGCCCAGGCTAGAGTACAGTGGCACAATGTTGACTCACTGCAGCCTCCACTTCCTGGGTTCAAGCAATTCTCCTGCATCAGCCTCCTTAGTAGCTGGGACTATAGATGTGCACCACCATGCCCAGCTAATTTTTTTGTATTTTTAGTAGAGACAGGATTTTACCATGTTGGCCAGGCTGGTATCAAACTCCTGACCTCAGGTGATCTGCCTGTCTCGGCCTCCCAAAGTGCTGGGATTATAGGCATGAGCCACCATGTCCAGCCCCATTTGTTGTTTCTTGTGGTCTGTGCTATGTGGAAAAGCAGGTTAAAAAACATGCAAATCACTCTTGCCCACTACTGTGATCCCCTGGTTGGCTGTAGATTTAGCAGCTTTTCTTTGTGCCACAGCAGCCTCCAGCAGCATCAGGGACACATCTGGACTTCATACTGTCAGACTCTTCTGCAAGCTTAAATGGATCTGTGATTATATCCTGTCAAAAGGCAAACCAAAATGAAAGGACAAGTTAAAGGTGTTTTTGATGTACCCAAACACTGATATTTCTGTTTGACTTAGGTTGACTTACACAGAACAGAGATAAAATTTTACAATTCCATGGGGTCCTGTGAGTAAAATCAGTCATTCTGCCATAAAGGCACTTGCTTCCTGAAGCTTCTAATGAAATTATTACCACTTTCAAGGTAAACTTCACTTAAAGCTTCTTAAAGATGGTCCCTATTGGGCAGAGCATTGATTTTTGCTCAGTTGATTATGTTTTGTGGGATTGTCATTTGCATGTGCCTTTTAAACTTCTTTGGGACTGAGATACAGAAATGCTGAAACTTCTTCTCTTCCCTTATTCTAATCTCCAGAAACATTTATACCAAACAGGAAAGTGAGTCCCAGATGTAGGGCTGTCACTAGCAATTGCTGATGCTCAGATGAAATTGCCAACAATGGCCAGACAGATCTCAGAGGAGAGTAAGATAAGACTGCTGTATTTATTTAAAAGATAAGACTGCTGTATTTATTTTCCTTCCTTTCACCTCCAAATGAGATACTTCTAACAATAGCACCAGTGGGGTCAGAGAAAAGCCAGGTACAGAGACAGGAAATCAAGAGCATGGGGGCTGGGCACGGTGGCTTATGCCTGTAATCCCAGCATTTTGGGAGGCCGAGGCAGGTGGATCACCTGAGGCCAGGAGTTCGAGACCAGCCTGGGCAATACAGCAAAATCCCATCTCTACTAAAAATACAAAAAGTTGCTGGGTGTGGTGGCACATGCCTGTATTCTCAGCTACTCAGGAGGCTGAGGCAAGAGAATCGCTCGAACCTAGGAGGTGGAGGTTGCAGTGAGCTGAGATCACACCACTGCACTCCAACCTGGGTGACAGAGTTAGCCTCTATCTCAAAAAAAAAAAAAAAAAAAAAGCATGAACATGCCACTTTAAATAATGGTAATTAATTCATTATAACATAAATTTACAGTCCTACTACTTATTGTTGGTCACTGCAAATAGAGGGGTGTACAAGGCAGGCACAGACTCTACATTCATGAAACTCATAGACTAGTGGACTATTCCCTTTACTAAAGTGACTGACTTCCTGCTGGACTTGGTCTCTCTGTCCCTCAGTGTCTTCCTTTCCGAAATGAAGAGGTCTGCCTGAATCTGGTGAGATGAGCTTCTGGCAGGGGATCTCCAAGCCTGGAAGAAGGCCAGCTCTGCTGGTTGCTACTGCTAGGACTTCACATCGATTGCATTTCCACCTCTCAGTATACTGGAACTCCTGCTTGAAAGGGTTTGCCCTGGCCTGGTGCGGTGGCTCATGTACTCTGGGAGTAATCCCAGCACTCTGGGAGGGCAAGGCAGCAGATCACCTGAGGTCAGGAGTTCGAGACCAGCCTGGCCAACATGGTGAAACCCCGTCTCTACTGAAAATACAAAAATTAGTTGGGCACGGCAGCTACTAGGGAGGCTGAGGCAGGAGAATCGCTTGAACCCTCTTCTTCCCACTCAATGATCTATCTACCAACAGGAGATGGTGATATCAATATCACTTCTAAATGCATGCTTCTAGTTCAAAAAGATCTCAAGACTTGAAGGAAATGAAAGGTGGGGTGCCCAGATAAGCAGTCCTTTCCTGCACCAGCATCCTGTGAGTCTATGAAAAGTTTAGCTATGGAGAGATGGAGCAGCACACTGGCTTAGAGTGTCAGCTCCAGAATCAGATGTGGGTACAAATTCACCACTTTCTAGCTGTATGACTTTGGATTTGTAAATGAATCTTTCGGAGCCTCAGTCTCTCTATCTGTCAAATGAAGATAATAAGGGTTATTGTAAGGACTAAATGACAGGGTGCCTTAAACATATTAACTATTCAATAAAAGTTAATTCCTCTATATTACTGCTATGATTGTTACTGCTTTTACTACCATTACTACTAAGACAGTCCATCGCCCTAATCCTGTTAGCATCATTTCAGATGCTGCAGTGTTTTGTTGTTTTTTATGTTTGTTTTTGAGACGGAGTCTCCCTTTATCGCCAAGGCTGGAGTGCAGTGGCATGATCTTGGCTCACTGCAACCTCTGCCTCCCAGGTTCAAGTGATTCTCCTGCCTCAGCCTCCCAAAAAGCTGAGACTACAGGCACCCACCACCACACCCAGCTAATTTTTATATTTTTAGTAGAGAGGGAGTTTCACCATGTTGGACAGGCTGCTCTTGAACTCCTGACCTCAAGTGATCCACCCGCCTCAGCCTCCCAAAGTGCTGGGATTACAGGCTGGAGCGACTGCGCCCAGCCAGATGCTGCAGTGTTTTAATAGTGTTAATTGTTTTAATGGCAAAATACACTTTGCATATCAGGATTGAAAAGAAGATGAAGAAAAGAAAATGCAGAAGGACTTTCAAGACGTTAAGTACATGCAAGACCCTGCATGCCACCTGCATGTACTGTCTGTACTCCAGCGTTTATCATAAAGGTCTTCCGTTTAAAAAAAAAAAAAGATAAGAATGTCCTTCCCTAAGAGCACAAGGTTATATTCCTAGGTCACACAGCTGTTTCATTTATTAAAATCTTCCTTCAGTGTCACTTATTCCCATTTCAAAAACTTGAAACTGACCTAAAGACACTGGCACATCTGCAGGCTGAAATAAATTAAAGCAGAAAGGAGACCTTATGTTGGGATAAACCAGTTCAAATATGTGGAATTTTACAATTCATATCTAAGGTCAAGAACCTCCTGTACATGCGTTGCATGCACACTGGGAGGGAGAACAAGGGCAGCTACACTGAAAGAAAATGGTCGTCTGCAGAAGCAAACTCATTTAATTCCTTTTTTTAAAAAAAATAGCCAGAGTGGCTGGGCACAGTGGCTCACACCTGTCATCCCAGCACTTTGGGAGGTCGAGGCGGGCGGACTGCCTGAGCTCAGGAGTACGCGACCAGCCTGGGCAACATGGTGGAACCTCGTCTCTACTAAAATACAAAAAATGAGCCAGGCGTGGAGGCATGTGCCTGTAGTCCCAGCTACTCAGGAAGTTGAGGCAGGAGAATTGCTTGAACCTAGGAGGCAGAGGAGTGAGCCAAGATCGTGCCACTGCACTTCAGCCTGGGTGACAGAGCGAGACTCTGTCTCAAAAACAAACAAACAAAAAATTAGCCAGAGTACACTGAAAATGCTGTAGCTCAAGGAAAGACCCTCTTTACTTGTAAGCATTATCTTCTGATAGCTTTTTTTTTTTTTTTTTTTGAGACAGAGTCTCGCTCTGTTGCCCAGGCTGGAGTGCAGTGGTATGATCTCGGCTCACTGCAAGCTCCGTGTCCTGGGTTCACGCCATTCTCCTGCCTCAGTCTCCCGAGTAGCTGGGACTACAGGCGTCAGCCACCACACCCGGCTAATTTTTTGTATTTTTAGTAGAGATGGGGTTTCACCGTGTTAGCCAGAATGGTCTTGATCTCCTGACCTCGTGATCCACCCGCCTTGGCCTCTCAAAGTGCTGGGATTGTAAGCCTGAGCCACCGCGCCCGGCCTTCTGATAGCTTTTATAACCAGTATTTAGGAAACCAGGTTTTAGAAGAATTAGAATGATAAAAACCTTTCAAAATAAATATTGATTCTCATCAGCAGGTTTTCTTATCAATGAACTCTCAGGAGTTTCAAAATATCAGTGACGTATTTTTGAAATGTTTAATGAATTGAATACTCAAAAGCCAGATCTCTCTGCTTTCCACAGTATCACCTTCTTTGAACAACAGAAGAGTCAGAACAGCAGAGTGCTGAATAATTTAATAAAGCAAAGAAAGTAAATCACTCTTCAGCTCTAGGTGGCTTGTATACTGGGCTTGGGTTAGATTCATGCTGGTAATACTGGCTCCAGATTTTGGGGTCCAGGATTCTTATATTTTAGGTTCAATTAACCTTCCCCAACTACAAACGTACCGTTTTTGAAAGTGATTTCTCAAAAAGCTTTGTGCTTTTTTTTTTTTTTTTTTTGAGGCAGGGTCTTGCTCTGTTGCCCAGGCTGGGGTACAGTATTGCAATCACGGCTCACTCCAACCTCCACATCCCAGGCTCAAAACGATCCTCCTGCCTCAGCCTCCCAAGTAACTGGGATTATAGGCATTTGCCACCATGCCCAGCTAATTTTTGTATTTTTAGTAGAAACACAGTTTCAGCATGTTGGCCAGCCTGCTCTTGACCCCCTGACCTCAAGTGGTCTGCCAGCCTCAGCCTCCCAAAGTGCTGAGATTGACTGGGCACAGTGGCTCATGCTTGTAATCCCAGCACTTTGGGAGGCCAAGGCAGGTGGATTGCCTGAGGTCAGGAGTTCGAGACCAGCCTGACCAACATGGTAAAACCCCGTCTCCATGAAAAATACAAAAATTAGCCGGGCATGATGGTGCACACCTGTAATCCCAGCTACTTGGGAGGCTGAGGCAGGAGAACCGCTTGAACCCAGGAGGCGGAGGTTGCAGTGAGCCAAGACTGTGCCATTGCACTCCAGCCTGGGCAACAAGAGCGAAGCTCTGTCTCCAAAAAAAAAAAAAAAAAAAAAGCTAGTATTGTTTTGTTGTTGTTGTTTGTTTGTTTTTGTTTTTTTGAGATGCAGTTGTGCTCTTGTTGCCCAGGCTGGGCAACCTAGGTGGGTGGATCACCTGGTGGCGTGAGCCACCACGCCTGGCAAAGTTAGTATTACTGTAACAATGGTTTGTAACTCTACTTTTTGTTTTCCACATGATTTAGGAGACCAGTGCATTTAAAATAATTACTAGTTTATGTTTTGGGGGCACAAAATGAATAAAAACATAATTTTGTGATATCAAGAACTAGAAAGACCTGGGCATGGTAGTTCATGCCTATAATCCCAGTACTTTGGGAGGCCAAGGCTGGTGGATCATCTGATGTCAGGAGTTCGAGACCAGGCTGGCCAACATGGTGAAACCCCACCTCTACTAAAAATACAAAAAATTAGCTAGGCATGGTGGCTGGCACCTGTAATCCCAGCTACTTGTGAGGCTGGGGCAGGAGAATCACTTGAATCCAGGAGGTGGAGGCTGCAGTGAGCCAAGATTGTGCCACTGCAGTCCAGCCTGGGTGATTGAGTAAAATTCTGTTAAAATAAAAAATAAAAATAAAATTAAAAAAAAAAAAAAAACCTAAAACGGTTGAGAACAAGCTTTAAAGGAGCAGAATTTTAGTATGTTATTGAAGTTAAGCTGTATAAATTCAAATTAGGCTGTCATAACTGTAGGATGTTAAATATTGTCAACAAAAGGAGTCAAACTCTAAAATACTTGAAAAGATTTTTTTCTGAGCCAAATAAGTTACCAGTGGCCTTGACACAGCCCTCGGGAGATCTGCAAACATGTGCCCAAAGTGGTCACCCTATAACTTGGTTTTATACATTTTAGAGAGATATAAGATATCGATCAATACATATAATATGTACATTGGTTCAGGCCAGAAACGTGGGACAACTGGAAGTGGGGGCTTCCAGGTCATAGGCAGATTCAAAGATTTTGTGATTGGCAATTGGTTGAGTTATAATCCAGAGACCTGGGATCAATAGAAGGGAGTGTCTAGGTTGTGATAAGAGGTGTGTAGACCAAAGTTTTATCATGCAGATGAAGCCTCCAGGTAGCAGGCTTTGGAGAGAATAGATTGTAAATGTTTCTTTTCAGATTTAAAGAGTCTGTTCTATCAGTCTTAAGATAATGCTGGTCAGCAGTGTCTGAATTCCAAAAGGGAGGAGGGAATAATGAGACACGTCCAACTTCTCTTTCCCTTCATGACCTGAACTAGTTTTCAGGTTAACTTTGGAATGCCTTTGGCCAACAGGAGGGGTCCATTCAGATGATTTACTTTCTCCTCATTCTGGCCTAGATTTGTCAGAGGCAACATCAGTGGTCACCAAACTTTTATTTTATCTCATTGTGTTGCTGGGGTGGCATGGCTGCCTTCCCTGGGTCCATCCTGTCCCTTGGTGGGACCCCTATGGTCAAGGGGCTTAGAGCCAAAAAACATATAGCGAATTTGAAAGTTCTAGGCCAGGCCAGGCGTGGTGGTTCACGCCTGTAATCCCAGCACTTTGGGAGGCCGAGACAGGTTGATCACCTGAGGTCAGGAGTTTGAGACCAGCCTGACTAATATGGTGAAACCCCGTTTCTACTAAAAATATAAATTAGGGCCAGGCACGGTGGCTCATGCCTGTCATCCCAGCACTTTGGGAGGCTGAGGTGGGCAGATCATGAGGTCAGGAGTTCGAGACCAGCCTGGCCAATATGGTGAAACCCTGTCTCTACTAAAAAAAAAAAAAAAATTAGCCGGGTGTGGTGGCAGGCACCTGTAGTCCCATCTACTCTGGAGGCTGAGGCAGAAGAATCGCTTGAACAAAGGAGATGGAGGTTGCAGTGAGCCAAGATCGCACCACTGCACTCTAGCCTGGGCAACAGAGCGAGACTCCATCACAAAAATAAAAAAAGAAAAAAAATTAGCTGGGCATGGTGGCACATGCCTGTAATCACAGCTACTCAGGAGACTGAGGCAGGAGAATCGCTTGAACCTGTGAGGGAGAGGTTGCAGTGAGACGAGATCACGCCACTGTACCCCAGCCTAGGTGAGAGAGCAAGACCCTGTCCCAAAAAAAAAAGAAAGTTCTAGGCCAGATGGGAATGGATGTGGATAGGCGATCATAAACCCTTAAAATTTCTTAATATAAAAGCCAACAAACAAAAAGCCAAAAGTGAGGTAAAAAAATTGACTTATCGGCCGGGCGCGGTGGCTCAAGCCTGTAATCCCAGCACTTTGGGAGGCCGAGACGGGCGGATCACGAGGTCAGGAGATCGAGACCATCTTGGCTAACACGGTGAAACCCCGTCTCTACTAAAAAATACAAAAAACTAGCCGGGTGAGGTGGCGGGCGCCTGTAGTCCCAGCTACTCAGGAGGCTGAGGCAGGAGAATGGCATAAACCCGGGAGGCAGAGCTTGCAGTGAGCTGAGATCCGGCCACTGCACTCCAGTCTGGGCGACAGAGCAAGACTCCGTCTCAAAAAAAAAAAAAAAAAATTGACTTATCTTTAACTTCTATGTGTTGCACTACTGTAATTTTGGTTTTAGTTACAGACTTACAGCAATTAGCTATACAAAACATAAGCATTGTTAAAACCTTTTAAGCTAAGGAATTTAGAGACTTCTGTTGTGCTACAATGTTTTTTGTGGTCTTTCAATAATTTGTTCTAAAATTATTTATTTATTTATTTATTTATTTATTTATTTATTTATTTATTTTGAGACAGAGTCTCGCTCTGTTGCCAGGCTGGAGTGCAGTGGCACGATCTCGATCTCGTCTCACTGCAACCTCCGCCTCCTGGGCTCAAGCAATTCTCCTGTGTCAGCCTCCCAAGTAGCTGGGACTACAGGCGCATGCCATCATGCCCGGCTAATTTGTTTTTTTGTATTTTAGTAGAGATGGGGTTTTACCATGTTGCCCAGGCTGGTCTCAAACTCCTGAGCTCAGGCAATCTGCCCACCTTGGCCTCCCAAAGTGCTAGGATTACAGGTGTGAGCCACTGTGCCTGGCCTCTTCTAAAATTTTAAAAAATATTTATGTTATCTGCATAAATCTCATAACTCAGAGTATTAAACCTAGGAGGCTTTGACATGAGGTACCTTTATATCCTCTCAGTAAGAATTTTCTTTTCATTCTACGGGAAGCAGGAAATTCTTTATGGTTGGGATGGATGAAAAGGTGCCACACATATAATAACCCAGGAGGCAGAGTCCCTTATTTTACCAGCTGTTTAGGCATCTGTGTGCCCATTTTTGATTTGGAGGGTCTGAACTAATCCTCTCAAAACTGGCCCTTAGAGTCTCACACACCTACCTCTTCTGTGATAGGTCCCTGGGCCTAGAGAAGGGTGCTTATATAATTTTAGCAGCAAGGAATTTGCAGTGAAAAGCAGATTAGGACCAGTGCGATTCCAAATGGGAATTCTCTAGCCTTAGAATACCATGATTCTGGTTTCCTTGGAAGTAAAAGAAGGAGATATAAATAACATTAATAATATGACAGTCAAAAGAGTATTCGTGTATCAGAACATAAAAAGGAACCTATTCCATTTAGGGCACAAACTAAAAACATGAAGAAAAATTATAACCTGGTTTATCTTTAAAGGGTTATTGTAGCCAATAATTAATGATTCAATATGCATTCAAAAACAAAAGTCCAGGCTGGAAATCTAGTAACAAGTATTATAGTTTTCCTTTGAAACCATTTCTCTCTCTAGCCTTTTTTTTTTTTTTTTTTTTTTTGAGACAGAGTCTCACTCTGTTGCCCAGGCTGGAGTGCAGTGGTTTGCCCTCCACCTCCCTGAGCTCAAGCAATCCTCCCATTCCAGCCTCTTGAGTAGCTGAGATTACTTGCATGCACCACCATACCCAGCTAATTTTTTTGTATTTTTGGTAGAGATGGGGTTTCAACATGTTGCCCAGGCTGGTCTCAAACTCCTGGGCTCAAGCAATCTGCCTGTCTCAGCCTTCCAAAGTGCTGGGATTATGAGTGTGAACTTCTGCGCCCAGCTCCTCCTTTTATACTAAAGACAAATTATAGTAAGGCCACTTTGTGTGCTAAATAAATTCTAGGCTTATTATACTTTGCCTGATCATTTGCATAAAGTCCAGCAAGAATTTGGCCATATAGGCCCTTTTCAAGTTGGCTTTGCTGGAACTTTACCTAAAAATGTTATTCCAGTCAAAGCCTTGGTAAAATAACCAAGTGTCTCCAATTGTCTTGTTTTGAAAGAAAAGACTCTTACTAAACTTATGCAAATAACTGTATTATTATAAAATCAGAATACTCATGAAAGGTTTCTGAATTTTGGAGAACTTGTTAAAGTAGGTAGAATAGCTAGTCAGGCGTGAGCAGGGCAGGAGAGGGCTCCCCCAACCGACTCCGCCAGGAATGTCAGGCCAGCATTGAGTGATGATCAGGTGGTTGTTAACTGTCTCTCGAAAATCACAGTTGGTTGCAGACAGCAGCAGGGAAAGGAAGTCTCTCAATAAACAGAAACACCTGAAACTGGTGATCAGCAGCTTCCCAATAAGATCTCAGGAGTTGGGCAAGTGGGCTCAAGCATGCACATTAAGAGGCAAAATGGTAGTGTTTAACTGGTATATAACCTTCTAACAACATTTGACCAGTAAGGGAAGCGTGCCTCAAGAGAGTATGCATACTGGCTGGGCACAATGGCTGACGCCTGTAATCCCAGCACTTTGGGAGACTGAGGCAGGTGGGTCACCTGAGGTCAGGAATTCAAGACCAGCCTGGCCAACATGGCGAAACCCCATCTCTACTAAAAAATGCAAAAATTATCCGGGTGTGGTGGTGGGTGCCTGTAATTCCAGCTAATCGGGAGGCTGAGGCAGGGAGAATTGCTTGAACCCAGGAGGCGGAGGTTGCAGTGAACCAAGATCGCAATACTGCACTCCAGCCTGGGTGAAAGAGAAAGACTCTGTCTCAAAAATAAATAAATAAAATAAAATAGTTCTCTGAGGTAGTGAAAGCCAGACAAACCTTTAACTCTAAAGCAGAACAGCTTCCAGATATTGGCAACTTCTCTCCAATTGGTCTGATCAGAAAATCTTGAGCAAATCGTGAATTCTTCAAGATAGCTGCTGTTTCTTCATCCACTTCAACAATTTCACCTTCCTAAACAGTAGTATAAAAAAACATCTACTAAGAGTTGCAACTTTAGTCTCAATAGAAGAAAAATGCCCAGAAGTACCGTTTTCTCCACATCCTCACCAGCACTAATCCTTATACACTACTGGTGGGAATTTAAATTAGTACAGCCATTATGGAAAACAGTATGGAGATTCCTCAAAAAATTAAAAATAGAACTACTATATGACCCAGCAATCCCCCTACTGGGTATATATCTTTAAAAAATGAAATTGGCCAGGCACGGTAGCTCATGCCTGTAATCCCAGCACTTTGGGAGGCTGAAGCGGGTGGATCATGAGGTCAGGAGTTCGAGACCAGCCTAGCCAATATGATGAAACCCTGTCTCTACTAAAAATATTAAAAAATTAGCTGGGTATGGTGGCATGTGCCTGTAATCCAAGCTATTCAGGAGGCTGAGGCAGAAGAATCTCTTGAATCCAGGAGGCGGAGGTTATAGTGAGCTGAGATCACACCACTTCTTTCCAGCCTGGGCAACAGAGTGAGACTCTATCTCAAAAGAAAAAGAAAATGAAATCAGTACGTCAAGGAAATATCTGCACTCCTAATATCTGCACAACTAACGCTGACTGTTGACTGCAGCATTAATCACAATAACCAAGATATGGAATCAACCTAAGCATCCATCAGTGGATGAATGGATGAGGAAAATGTGGCGTATATACACAATGGAATACTATTCAGATTTTTAAAAAGAAGGAAATCCTGTCAGTTGCAGCAACATGCATGGAACTGCAGGTCATTATGTTAAGAGAAATAAGGCAAACACAGAAAGACAAATATCATATGTTCTCACTGATATGTGGAAGCTAAAAAAGTGGATCTTATTAAGATAGAGAGTATACTGATAGCTACCAAAGGCCAGAAAGAGTACAGAATGGGGGAGATAAAGAGAAGTTGATTAATGGTTACAAACATAGGGTTCGATGAAATAAATAAGACCTAGTGTTTGATATATCAGTAAAGTGACTAGTTTACAATAATATATTGTATATTCCAAAATAGCTAGAAGAGAATAATTTGAATGTTTCTAACATAAACAAAAGACAGGGCCAGGTGTGGTGGCTCCCAGCACTTTGAGAGGCTGAGGCGGATGGATCGCCTGAGGTCAGGAGTTCGAGACCAGGCTGACCAACATGGTAAAACCCTGTCTCTACTAAAAATACAAAATTAGCCGGGCATGGTGGCACATGCCTGTAATCCCAGCTACTTGGGAGACTGAGGCAGGAGAATTGCTTGAGCCTGGGAGGTGGAGGTTGTGGTGAGCCGAGATCGCACCATTGCACTCCAGCCTGGGCAAAAAGAGCGAAACTCCGTCTCAAAAAAAAAAAAAAAAGAAAGAAAGAAAAGACAAATATTGAAGGTGATAGTTATCCCAATTACACTAATTTGATCTTTACAATTATATTAATGTATCAAATTATCATATGAACCCCCCAAAAATCTACATCAATTATGCATCAATTTTTTAAAAATGTTAAGTCTTTATGTATCAATAATAACACTGAATGAAAATGGACTCAATTCTCCAATTAAGAGGCATAGTGCTGTGAAAAAGCTTGTGGCAAAGAGGGGCAAAAAAAGAAGCAGGTTCTGACATTCACTCTTGACTGCACCCACCTTGTAGAAAATGGAGTCATAGATGCTGCCAATTTTGAGCAGTTTTTGCAAGAGAGGATCAAAGTGAATGGAAAAGCTGGGAATCTTGGTGGAGCATTATAACCATCGAAAGGAACAAGAGCAAGATCACTGTGACTTCTGAGGTACCTTTTCCAAAAGGTATTTGAAATATCTCACCAAAAAATATTTGAAGAATAATCTATGTGATTGGTTGTGTGTAGTTGCTAATAGCAAAAAGAGTTATTATGAATGAAGTTACTTCCAAATTAACCTGGACGAAGAAGAGGAGGAAGGTGAATATAAAAATTTATTTATCTGGAATATTTTGTATGAGTTCTTGAATAAAACTTGGGAACCTCCACCCCCAAAAAAGGTATAGAGTGGCTGAATGCATAAAAAAACTGGACCCAATTATATGCTGCCCACAATAAACCTACTTTATAAAAATACTGAAAGTGAAGGGGTGGAAAAAAGACATTCCAAGCAACTGGAAACCAAAAAAGAACAGGAGTGGCTATACTTATATCAGATAAAATAAACTATGAATCAAGGCTGTCAAAAAAAGCAAAGAAGGTCACTATATAATGATAAAGGGGTCAATTCAGCAAGAGGATATAAGTATCTATGCACCCAACATTGGAACTCCGAAGTATATAAAGCAAACATTAATAGATCTAAAAGAAGAAATATACTGTAATGCAATAGTAGTAGGGGACTTTAACACCACACCTCACTCTCAGTAAGACAGATCATCCAGGCAGAATAATAAAGAAACATTAAACTATATACTAGCTCAAATAGGCCTAGCTGACATTTACAGAACATTTCACCCAGCTGCTGCAGAATAGACATTCTGCTCAATAGCACGTAGAACATTCTCCAGCACAGACTATATCTTAGGCCACAAAACAAGTCTTAACAAATTCAAAAAAGTAGACATCATAACAAGTATCTTTCTCACCACAATGGAATAAAATTAGAAATCAGTAACAAGAACCTTGGAAAATACACAAACACATGGAAATTAAACAACATGCTACTGAATAACCAATGGGTCCGTGAAGAAATTAGGAGAAACATTTAAAATTTCTTGAAACAAATGAAAATGGAAATACAACATGCAAAAATCTATGGGATACAGCAGAAGCAGCACTAAGAGGAAAGTTTATAGCAATAAATACCTATATCAAAAAAGTAGAAAGATTTCAAATAAGACCAGGTGTGGTGGCCCATGCCTGTAATCTCAGCACTTTGGGAGGCCAAGGCAGGTGGATTGCTTGAGCCCAGGAGTTCAAGGGCAGCCTGGGCAACATGGTGAAAGCCTGTCTCTACAGAAAATACAAAAATCAGCCAGGCATGGTAGCCTGTAGTCCCAGCTACTTCAGATGCTGAGGTAGGAGGATCACCTGAGCCCAGGAGGTCAAAGCTGCCATGAACCATGATTGTGCCACTGCATTCCAGTCCAGGTGACAGAGTGAGACCCTGAGAAAGAAAGAAGAAAGGAAGGAAGGGCAGGGCGCGGTGGCTCACACCTGTAATCCCAGCACTTTGGGAGGCTGAGGCGGGCAGATCACAAGGTCAGGAGTTCGAGACCAACCTGGACAATATGGTGAAACCCCGTCTCTACTAAAAATTAAAAAAAAAAAATAGCCAGGTGTGGTGGTGCATGCCTGTAATCCCACCTACTTGGAAGGCTGAGGCAGGAGAATCTCTTGAACCTGGGAGGTGGAGGTTGCAGTGAGCCGAGATTGTGCCACTGCACTCCAGCCTGGGCGACAGAGCAAGATTCCACCTAAAAAAAAAAAAAAAGAAAGAAAAAGAGAGAAAGAAAGAAAAGAAAAAAGAAAATTGCTAAAAGAGTACACTTTAAGTGGTCTCATCACAAATAAATGGTGAATATGTGAGGTAATGCATTTTAATTTTCTCGATTTAGTCATTCCATAATGTACACGTATGTCAAAATATACCGTTGTACACCATAAATATATACATACAGTTTTTTAAATTTGTCCATTAAAAAAATAAATACTGGGGGGAAAATTAGGGCTTTGGACTATTGGGGGTTTTTTGTTTGTTTGTTTGTTTTTGAGATGGAGTCTTGCTCTGTTGCCCAAGCTGGAGTGCAGTGGCACGATCTTGGCTCACTGCAACCTCCACCTCCCAGGTTAAAGCGATTCTCCTGCCTCAGCCTCACAAGTAGCTGGGATTACAGGCATGCGCCACCACGCCTGGCTAATTTTTGTATTTTTAGTGGAAATGGGGTGTCACCATGTTGGTCAGGCTGGCCTCGAACTCCTGACCTAAGGTAATCCATCCGCCTTGGCCTCCCAAAGTGCTGGGATTACAGGTGTGAGCCACCGCACCCGGCCAAGGACTGGTGGTTTTTAAAGTGCATTTCTGGCTGGGTACAGTGGCTCACGCATATATATATATATATATATAATTTTGCTTAAAAAATAATTGTATTAAAAATGGTTTTTGAAAACCACTGGAACAAATCAATGGTTTCAAAGGCCCTTCCCACTCTGATTCTATGAATCTACTGGAATAGGCAGCACATCAAGGAGTAGTGCATTAGTGAAAAGCATTAAGGGCTCCACCATACCAAGGAGTATTTAAGAAATTTGAAGGTGCGGCCAGGCACAGTGGCTCACGCCTGTAATCCCAGCACTTTGGGAGGCCAAGGCGGGTGGATTACCTGAGGTCAGGAGTTCAAGACCAGCCTGACCAACATGGTGAAACCCTGTCTCTAATAAAAATACAAAAATTAGCGGGGTATGGTGGCACACGCCTGCAATCCCTGCTACTCAAGAGGCTAAGGCAGGAGAATCAGCATGAACCCGGGAGGCAGAGGTTGCAGTGAGCCAAGATTGAGTCACTCACTGCGCTCTAGCCTAGGTGACAGAGCAAGACTCCATTTCAAAAATAAATAAATAAATAAATAAATAAATTTGAAGATGCTTAGCCAGGTGTAGTCCCAGACTTGGAAGGCTGAGGTGGAAGGATCCCTTGAGGCCAGGAGTTCAAGACTATAGTGGGCTATGCTTACACCTGTGAATAGCCACTGTACCCCAGTGTGGGCAACATAGCAAGTCCCTGTGTCTAAATAAAGAAATAAATACATTTTTTAAATTAAAAAAAAAAATCTGGAGATGCTATTTAGACCAAAAAATCAGAAGCCGGGCACAGTAACACATGCTTGCAACTTTGGGAGGCTGAGGTGGGAGAATTGCTTGAGGCTAGGAGTTCGAGACCACACTGGGCAATATAAGAACCTGTCTCGGCCGGGCGCAGTGGCTCACACCTGTAATCCCAGCACTTTGGGAGGCCGAGGCGGGTGGATCACAAGGTCAGGAGATGGAGACCACCCTGGCTAACACAGTGAAACCCCGTCTCTACTAAAAAAATACAAAAAATTAGCTGGGTGTGGTGGCGGGCACCTGTAGTCCCAGCTACTCAGGAGGCTGAGGCAGGAGAATGGCGTAAACCTGGGAGGCGAAGCTTGCAGTGAGCTGGGATTGGGCCACTGCACTGCAGCCTGAGTGACACAGCAAGACTCCATCTCAAAAAAAAAAAAAAGAACCTGTCTCACCAATAAAAAATTAAAAATAAAAAATTAGCCAGGCATGGTGACACATGCCTGTAGTCCCAGCTACTTGGGAGGCTGAGGTGGGAGAATCACTTGAGCCCAGGAGTTTGAGGTTACAGTGAGCTATGACTTTACCACTATACTCCAGCATGGGTGACAGAGACCCTGTCTCTAAAATAGATAAATAAATAAATCAGAAAAATGAAATATTAATAGGAAGTTCTTCCACCTTTGGAATAAATAATGACTGTATCTTCTTTTCACTGAAATTGCCATATGTACCCAGTGTTTTGCTACATTATTGCTAATCTTTATAGAAATTCTGCAAAGCAAGTATTATTATCCCTGCTTTTACCGTAGAACAAACTGTAACCCAACGAATTTTGATGACTTCTTCAAGTTTACCCAAGTAATAAATAATAGAGCCAGAAAACATATACAATTCTGTGTTCCTCAGTAAATGAGATTAGCGTCTAATGAGTAGCACGCCTTTACTAACTTACTAAGTTGTAATATAAAATGATCTTTATTTAGTTAATTGCCAGAGAGATTTAGCATAATTTTGTTCTGGATTCAGTAAATCAAGTCAGCTTGGATCATTCACCTTAACCTTTCCTTTAGCAGTCACTAGTTTCCATTAAGTAGTGTTCTATAAACTTTGATCCAAAGCAGAATCAATGTCTTATCCGTCTTGTGACTTAAAGTTCTGTGACTGTGATGCATGTGAGTGTTCTGACTTCATCTGTTCCTCTGACTATGGTGTTTCGCTTACCATGGCATTCATAGGATGAAATGAATGACTGCCCAGAATGAGAATTTGTCCAGATTATTCAGATAAACATCATAAAGCAGAATACATGAATAAATAAGTAGAACATTAATAAAATTCCAAAATACTCAATGGGAAATGACTAGTAATACAGGCTTTCAAGAGTTGGTACCTTTTAGCTATATTTGCAGATACTCTGGGATTTTAAGGAACTGAGAAAACAGCAAAGTTGACTAAATTTTATATTTCTTATCCTCTAAATATTTTGATAATTTCTGGATTGGTGCAGTGATGTTTTTGTTCCTTCCATATTTATAAATGAAACATCTTTTTTTAGTGTTTCTAAACCTCAAATCTACCTGGCTTGAAATCAAGTGGTTGGAACACTGTTTGACTTTTATTTGAAGCATGTTGTTGATTGAAAATTTCATTGAGGAAGTTTTTAATCAGTATGGTCAGTTTGATTCTATAATGAGCACAGCAACTAATATTTTGAGGAGCTCTGTTTTAAGGACCAATGCTTAAGGTAGACTTTGTTCGTAAACAATATCCCAATAGATTTGTTGACTTGAGGTCTGGTTTTTTTGTTTTTTTTTTTCCTAATAGAATTAAGAATTCTAATGTTGAAAAACTATGCAAATTTGTATGGGACAAAGCCTAGAAAAGAGAAATGTAGATTGAATCATAATCTAAATCATGGTATGATACAAAAGGGAAAGTTTTGGTGCCATAATTTCTCCTTTCACTGGTGTTGGACTTAAATCAGTTGAAATGTATTTCTGTACCATAATTTATGCTTCAATAAAAGTTTAATTGTCTAGTGACATTCAGAAAAAAATAAAAAATAATAATACTAGAGCCAGAATTTGAACCCAGGTATCTGATTCCAAAGCCTGAACTTTCCCATTTTGAGAAAACAAATATTACTATGCACAGGGCAGTAAAAATGCCAATTAGTGCCATCATTGAACATTAAAATTTCTTAATTCCTTGACAAAATTAAACAATTGAAATACTATTGTACATACTCCTACTCTTTTCCATCCTACTTCTCTATAACTCTATTAATCCAATGTCTGAATGAGGTTTCCTGTAAAAAGTTTTCTTAGGTGGTTAATGGTATTGCGATTATGGGACACATGCTGAAATATTTAAGGGTAAAATGTCATAATATCTGCAACTTATTTTCAATGGCTCAGCAAATAAATATATATATACACACACACAAACACAAACATGGAAAAATGTTCTCAATTGCTGAAATATAGGTAATGCATATGTGGGTATTCATTGTACTATCAACTTCTCTGTATTCAACAACTTTTTTTTTTTTTTGAGACAGAGTCTCGCTCTGTTGCCCAGGCTGGAGTGCAATGGCATGATCTCAGCTCACCGCAACCTCCACCTCCCGGGTTCAAGCAATTCTCCTGCCTCAGCCTCCCAAGTAGTTGGGATTCCAGGCACCCACCACCATGCCCGGCTAATTTTTGTATTTTTAGTAAAGACGGGGTTTTGCCATGTTTGGGAGGCTGGTCTCAAACTCCTGACCTCAGGTAATCGGCCCGCCTCAGCCTCCCAAAGTGCTGGGATTATAGGTGTAAGCCACCGCACCCGGCCAAAAACATTTTTATAATAAATATTGAGGGCTGGGCACGGTAGTTCACGCCTGTAATCCTGGCACTTTGAGAGGCCGAGGTGGGCAGTTCACTTGAGCCCAGGAGTTCAAGACCAGTCTGGGCAACATGGCAAAACCCTGTCTCTACAAAAAATACAAAAATTAGCCGGGTGTGTTGGTGCGCCTGTAGTCCCAGCTACTCAAGAGCCCAAGGTGGGAGGATCGCTTGAGCCCAGGAGGTTAAGGCTGCAGTGAATAGCCTGGGTGACAGAGTGAGATCCTGTCAATAAATAAATATCAGGAAAAACATGCTTTTTTACTCCACTTGAAACACACACATACAGTTAAACACACACACAAACAAACCAACACCAGAAAAGTGGGAAGCAATGCAAAGTCAAGAAAAGATAGCTGGAGCAAGGGCAAGAGCAGAAATAATCCAGCAGTCATGGAAGTTGTTTTATTTACCTTAAATGTAAAATTGGCATCAAACATTAGTTCTTTTTCATGTCCTGTAATTCCTCCATTGTAAATAACTTGGCATCTCTTGGTTGGTCCTGTCTTAGAGCATTTGAAGAGGCGAAATGTTGCAGAAACAAAACGACAGTCACCTAAAAACAGAATTCATTCATGGTTCATCTCCAGCACTCCCTCAGTTGTTGCCTTGCTCAGCAGACGAGGAGCAAACACATTACAAAGATGACTTTCTTCTTTGCATGTCATCAATTATCTTTCTGGGCACTTCACTCTATTTACTGAATGACTTCAAAGTGCTTTATTAAATATCAAAATTGGGGGGGAAGACAATATAGCTATTTCCAGATAACACAAAGTATCCCTCAATGAGATTCCTCAGAAGTCACTTACTAATCACCACATTTCAATCATTCAAGCTGTAGTTATAATAGTCCCTGCTGTCTGTCATATCTTACCGATAACTCTTTCCAGTTCCTTGTTTTGAATTGTAATGAGATTGGCAGTGACCAAACGTGGAGGGCAGAACCCAATTTTTTGAGCAAGGATGGCAAGTTCCTTCCAGTACAAAGCACCACCCAGACACTCACCTAAAAAACAAAAAGCAAAACAACAACAACAACAAAAACCCACAGACCAACCAACACTTAATACAGTATTAAGGGAATTATTATTCTATATAATTAATTAGGACATGGTATCAGTTAAAACATAGATCCTAGCAGTAGAAGCTAACTTGAGCATCCCCCCAAGGTCTAGAAAGCCATGGTTAGGATTGGGTGTGCTCCTGACAGTCTCTGGGAACCATTCTTCAGGAGACTCACTGGTGGATTGGTTCTACCCAGCTGCAAGCATAATATTCATGTATGCAGTAGGCCACATTCTGAAAAGCACTATGTTATGTGAATAAAGTAGTATAAAAAATAATTTATAGGTCAAGCATGGTGGCTTACACCTGTAATTCCAGCACTTTGAGAGGCAGAGGTGGGCAGATCACGAGGTCAGGTGTTGGAGACCAGCCTGGCCAACACTGTGAAACCCCATCTCTACTAAAAATACAAAAATTAACTGGGCATGGTGGTAGGCACCTGTAATCCCAGCTACTCGGGAGGCTGAGGCAGGAGAATCACTTGAACCCGGGAAGAGAGCCAAGATTGCCCCCTGCACTCCAACCTGGGTGACAGAGCGAGACTCCATCTCAAAAAAAAAAAAAAAAAAAAAAAAAAAGAGGTTATCACTGGGTTATATGATTATAAGTAATTTTTTTTAAGAGATAGGGTATTACTATGACACCCAGGCTGTACCTGAACTCCTAGGCTCAAGCAGTCCTCCTGACTCAGCCTCCCAAATATCTGGGGTTACAGGTGTGTGTCACTGTGTCCAGCTTAGTAATTTTTTCTTTTTTTCTTTTTTTTGCATTTTCCAACTTATTAACAGTACCTATTTATTATTACACAGTAAGAATAAAATTAATATTATTTTAAGAATAAGAACTTTTAATTTCATAGTCAGACTGATGAAAAGCATGCATTTATCTCAACTTCCAGAGACTATTAAAATGATAATAAAGGAATAAAGAACACAATAATGATGAGAACATAAGGGGACTAAGAGGGCACCAGCTCGGGAACAATTGTCTTCATTTCCAAACTAGAGTTTTCAAAGTATTTTTCCCATTCTTTATCCCATTTAATCTTCATAACAGCCCTATAAGGCAGATTGTATTATTATTTACATTTTACAATTTGGAAAATGATAACTCAAAGAGATGAATTAAACTATCCAAAGCCCTATCATTTTTGAATGGCAGAGGAAGAATGGAACCTTGGCCTCATGGCCTAACCCCATGTCATAAAGCCTGATCTCATGTCATAAAGCCTCATCCTGGCTATTAGCAGAAAGGAGTTCTGCACATGAACAAACATCTGCCTTAATACCAAACTAAACAAAATCACCTACCCCATAAAACTTTGTGTGTCCTGATTTCTTCTGGCAGTTCAAGGCTCGTATAGACGTCACTGAAATATAACTCCCCACCATGCTGAAACAGAGCCATATTAGTCCAAACAAGATTAATGATTACATTGATCCTAGATAACAAAGGAAGGAATAGGGGAACAAAATCAAATTTAAAAACCAATAGCAATGTTTAAGCTGACCCTTTGTGAACAAATAACAGCTGCCTCTTTAGTTATAATCAATAGTCAAGTGCCAAGGTTTTTTCCTCCCAGTGGCTTATCCAACAGGTAATAAAATCACATTCTAAGACTGTCTCCTAAAAAAAAATTTTCAGATTACTTAAATTTAAATTTTTAGCCAATCTGAACCAAAAGCAGCCCCAGGTCATTGTAGAACTAACAGAGGGTATAATCAGTATTCATAATCTTTTATCTCTTAAGAATAGTATAACTTTGCCAGGTATGATGGCTCAGGCCTCTAATCCCAGTGACTCAGGAGGCTGAAGTGGGAGGATTGCTGGAGGATAGCAGTTTGAGACTAGCCTTGGCAACACTGGCAACACAGCAAGACCATCTCTCCAATATAGAAATTTAAAAATTAGCTGGGCATGGGGGCATGTGCCTGGAGTCCCAGCTACTCAAGAGGACTGTTTGAGCCCAGGAGTAAGAGGGTACAGTGAGCTATGATAGTGATACTGCACTCCAGCCTGGGTGACAGCAAGACCCTATTTCTATTAAAAAATATAACTTTTTGTAATGTTGTTATTTACTTTTATAACAACACATTATATCTTTAAAATATTATCCTTAAAATATAAGGCAAATGAGTGATCAGGAACTTAACATTTTATTTAGCTAATTTTAAAAACCTGGAAACCTGGAGATCTATATTCTACAATAGTGTTTCTACCTTCTGTAAGTACATTTTTGGTGGAGATAAGTGAACTGCCATGTAAAATGACATACTAACAAAGACATCACTAAATCATTAAATCATTTCTATACAGATATTTGTATTTGAGTTCTATGACAGCTTTGTAAACCAAAAATCTCAAAACCATGTTGTTAATTTAAAAAAATTCTTTGGCTGGGTACAGCAGCTCATGCCTATAATCCCAGCACTCATGACCAAGGTGGATCATGAGGTCAGGAGTTCGAGACCAGCCTGGCCAATATGGTGAAACCTTGTCTCTACTAAAAGTACAAAAATTAGCTGGGCATGGTGGCACATGCCTGTAGTCCGAGCTACTAGGGAGGCTGAGGCAGAAGAATTGTTTGAACCCAGGAGGCGGAGGTTGCAGAGAGCTGAAATCCTGCCACTGCATTCCAGCCTGGGCAACAAAGTGAGACTCCGTCTCAAAAAAAAAAAAAAAAAATTTTTTTTAGAGGCAGGGGTCTCACTCTATTGCCCAAGCTGGACACAAACTCCAGAGCTCAAGCAATCCTCTTGCCTCAGCATCCAAGTAGCTGGGAGTACAGGCATGTACCACCCACCCGGCTAAAATCTTTTTTTTTTTTTGAGATGGAGTCTCACTCTGTCTCCCAGGCTGGAGTGCAGTGGTGAGATCCCGGCTCATTGCAACCTCTGCCTCATGGGTTCAAGTGATTCTCCTACCTCAGCCTCTCAAGGAGCTGGGATTACAGGCATGCGCCACCACACCCAGCTAATTTTTGTATTTTTAGTAGAGACAGGGTTTCTCCATGTTGGCCAGGCTGGTCTCGAACTCCTGACCTCAGGTGATCTGCCCACCTCAGCCTCCTACAGAGCTGGGATTATAAGTATGAGCTACCACGCCTGGCTGAATCTTTCATCTTCTATCATGAAGATACACATCTCATGATACAATGAAGGCTGTGGAGCTCCTGCAAGCTTTCCTTTTAGAAAGTAGTTAATGTAAAATTCATCTTCTGTAACTTCCCAAAGATCTGAAATCATGACAGATAAGAAATCAGAAACCCTGAGAAACACTGTACGTGCTAGAAGAGAGTGTATTCAAAGCAATCATTAGCAGTCAGTGCAAAGGTTCCTATAGCTCCACAGATGGTCTTCTACGATCATGTACAGCAGCAAATAGGAGAGACAGTCAAGAAAGCAAATACCTTAACACATTCAGTGACAACTGTCACCTCGGATTTACTACCTTTTGCAACCTGAGAGGGAAAGTAATCCATATCCAGGGTATTCCTGCCCCTTCCCCCTTTTGCCACCCCTTTTTCATTTAATGGATAAATTAAGAGAGTTGGAGCTCTTAGTTCAAGGGGGAACAAACAAGACTGAACCCATCAGCTCTCACTGATGTTCAAAGATAATTTATCTCACTCTCCTCCTCACCTTCAGCACCCGATATGCCTCCTGAAGCACTTGTTGTTTATCAGGCACAAGGTTAATAACACAGTTCGATCTAAAAGAGAACAGATGAAGTGTCGAGAAAATCTTCACAATACTCAGAGATCTGCAAATCCTTTCAGACCCTAAAGGTGGCTCCCACCTTTCTGTCAAAGCTACCCCATTCTTACTGCCTCCCTTCTCTCTTTCTAATGCCTTCAACTAAGCTTTTCCCCAAGATCAGAGACAGAGTGTTTAAAATCTCAATAAATTGTTAGCAAGTTTGAATGTGCAGGAAAAAAATATCAGGCATGATTCTTACTTGTTTCTGTCCTGATATTCATCAGGCAACAAGATGAACCCTCGGACCAGATGCCTACCACACAAGGCATTTCTTTCTTTCTTTCTTTTTTTTTTTCCTGAGATGACGTTTCACTCCTGTTGCCCAGGCTGGAGTGCAATGATGCAATCTTGGCTTATTGCAACCTCTGCCTCCCGGGTTCAAGTGATTCTCCTGCCTCAGCCTCCCAAATAGCTGGGATTACAGGCATGAGTCACCACGCCCGGCCGGCACGAGGCATTTCTTATGCCCCGTGTAAACAGGCTACGTTCCTCAAAGGCAGCTGTCACTTGGGCATGATTTGGCAATAACAACTTGAGAGAAAAAAGGAAATAGAATCCTATAATTTACCATGGAAACATAATGAAAGATGCAGGTCAGCATGTATTGTAGGAGCCAACTTAGTGGTCCTGCTGGTCTTTTGGGTTCATTGGTTTTTGGTTAAGTTTCAAGTAAGTTCTCTCCTGGTCTAGTGTGTTCTGCTGCTAGTGAGCTCCAGCAGCTCAAACCAGCTCTCTCCCATTAGTAAGCCATGCTAAGTTTAGTCTAACACCCTAAATGAGAGTCAATTCAGCAAACAGTAATAGTGACATCTGTGTGTTCAAAAGGAAATGAGTGCTGGGCACGGTGGCTCACACTTGTAATCCCAGCACTTTGGCAGGCTGAAGCAGGTGGATCACCTGAGGTCAGGAGTTTGAGACCAGCCTGGCCTACATGGTGAAACCCTGTCTATACTAAAAGAAGATTTAAAAAATTAGCTGGGTGTGGTAGCGTGTGCCTGTAATCCCAGCTACTTGGGAGGCTGAGGCACGAGAATCAGTTGAACCCGGGAGGCAGAGGTTACAGTGAGCTGAGATTGGGCCACTGCACTCCAGCCTGGGTGACAGAGCAAGAGTCCATCTCAAAAAATAATTAATAATAATAATAATAAAGAAAATGGGCTATAGTCATAATAGTAAGAATATAGACCTACACAACAATATCATAGCTCTCATTCTTGATTCCAGCCTCTCCCAATTTCTCAATGTAGCCATGAATAAAAGTCACATTAGATGCCTGGAAGCCATATTTTTCCATGTGATAGTCAAGATACTTTTCAGCCACTTCCACCTAAAGTAAGAAAAATATAGTTTTGATAACATTTTGAAAAAAATACACGACTTTTTCCTAAAAATTTCCTGTCACTAACACAATGCACTTCCCCTAGATTATTTTGGATAAATATACAAGATTCCTGTGGACATGTAGGATGTACTACAACCTGGGACATAAACTCCCTGCTGCCTGTGCAGTTTGGCTTGAATAAATGCCTCATTCAATAACAAAATCTTTCAGGATAGATGGCAGCAAGAAGGGAAAGATCAAAGTCTGCTCTGTCATCACCATACTCATATCAGAACAAACCACCGACTCTTGTGTTTGCCCAGAAGAGCCCCTAATTCTTTAAGTTATCAGTTTCCAAGACAGGAAGCACTAGTGGCACAAATGAGCATTGCTAACTAGAGGCTTTCTTAAATTATCCTTGGAGAGCCACGAAGAAAAAAACTTTATTTCTCAAAGAACGCTTCTGAGAATCTTTTCCTCTTTGTCTTCCAAATCATTGCCTCACCTGGCCTTTGGTCATGTCTATTCCAGTCACATGTCCCTTTTCACCAACCAGCTGGCTAAGTACGTAGCAATCTCTGCCACCTCCACTACCCAGATCCAAAATCCAGCAGTTTTCTAGATGCTCGGGGATCACCAGACCACAGCCATAATACCTGGGAAATGGAAAACACATTTTTTCCCTGGAGACTAGAAGACATGAAACCACTAAATCGTATACACACTTCCCTCCCTCCCTCCCTTCTTTCTTGCATCATTCACTCATACTTCTGATGTTTAGTCTCCACTGAACTGGACACCCATGAAGGCTGGGACTGTATCTGCTTTACCACAGTATTGCTGGGCATGTGCTAGGCCCTAAGACTTCATAAGCCATCTAAAATAATGTGTTCAGGCCGGGCGCAGTGGCTCACGCCTGTAATCCCAGCACTTTGGGAGGTCGAGGTGGGCGGATCGCTTGACGCAAGGAGTTGGAGACCAGCCTGGCCAACATAGTGAAACCCTGTGTCTACTAAAAATACAAAAACATCAGCTGGGCATGATAGCAGGTACCCGTAATCCCAGCTCCTCGGGAGGCTGAGGCAGGAGAATGGCTTGAATCCGGGAGGTGGAGGTTGCAGTGAGCCGAGATTGTGCCACCGCACTCCAGCCTAAGAGACAGAGTGAGACTCCGTCTCAAAAAATAAATAAGTAAAATAAAATAATGTGTTGAATAAATACATTTAGTCATTTGCTGAGCTTCTAATTCAGGCCCAGGACTGCTAGTTATTGAGGAAAAAAATGTAAGGTTTCTGTCCCATAGGTTTGTTTTTTGTTTTTTAGTTTTTACTTTTTCTTTTCTTTGAGATGGAGTCTCGCCCTGCCGGCCAAGCTGGAGTGCAGTGGCGCGAACTCAGCTTACTGCAAGCTCCGCCTCCCGAGTAGCTGGGACTACGGGCGCGCCTGCCGCCATGCCAGGCTAATTTTTTTTTTTTTTTTTGAGACGGAGTGTTGCTCTGTCACCCAGGCTGGAGTGCAGTGGTGCGATCTCAGCTCACTGCAAGCTCCGACATTCTCCTGCCTCAGCCTCCCCAGCAGCTGGGACTACAGGGGCACGCTGCCACGCCCGGATAATTTTTTTTGTATTTTTAGTAGAGACGGGGTTTCACTGTGTTAGCCAGGATGGTCTCAATCTCCTGACCTCGTGATCTGCCCGTCTCGGCCTCCCAAAGTGCTGGGATTACAGGCGGTTGCCACCGCGCCAAGCCAATTTTTTGTATTTTTAGTAGAGACGGAGTTTCGCTGTGTTAGCCAGGATGGTCTCGATCTCCTGACCCCGTGATCTGCCCGCCTTGGACTCCCAAAGTGCTGGGATTACAGACGTAAGACACCGCCTCCTCCGCCCTCGATCTTTTTTTTTTTTTTTTTTTTTTGAGACTGAGTTTCGCTCTGCTGCCCAGGCTGGAATGCAGTGGCACAACCTCCACTCACTGAGACCTCCCCCTTCTGCGTTCAAGTGATTCTCCTCCCTCAGCCTCCCAAGTAGCTGGGACTACAAGCTTGCGCCACCACACCCAGCTAATTCTTGTATTTTTAGTAGAGACGGGGTTTCACTATGTTGGCCAGAACGGTCTTGAACTTCTGACCTCAAGTGATCTACCTGCCTTGGCCTCCCAAAGTGCTGGGATGACAGACGTGAGTCACAGCCTCCCGCCCCGCAGGTGTATTTAAGAGATGAGGTAAAACATTGTACACAGAAAACACTTCCCATGATTTACGGACAGACCGAGTGACAGAGTGCTGTGGCAGTTTGGGGAAGAGGCTGCTCAAAGATTAGAGAAGGCTCCATGCAGTAGGTGGGACAGCAGGGTGGTGCTGGATGGGCAGGGTTTGGAAGGAGAAAGAAGAGGGAAGGCTTTCCAAATTGGTGACTGCCCGCTGGACAGGCAGTGCTGATGGAGTGAGGAAGGGAAGGTTCAGAAGGGCCAAGGTTGATTAGGGAGGGCCGAACTGCGCATATCTTGAATGGCAGATCCAGTGAGTGTGACTATTCTCTGAGCTTGGGTAGGGACTATGGAGTGTTCACATTGGAGCTTCTTCTTCTTCTTTTTTTTTTTTTTTGCAATGTTTTAAAAGTACGCATTTATTTTAGAGATGTATCTGACTATGTTGACCAGGCTGGAGTGCAGTGGCTATTCACATCCCGGATCACACACTGCAACCTGTAACTTCCGGACTCACGCGATCCTCTGCCTCAGCCTCCCAAGCACTTGGGACTACAGGCTCACCGGCGCACCCGGATTCATCGGAGGTTCTTAGAGCAGTAAGATGATGGGTGCTGAGATTTAGGATTTTTACAATAGACAAAGCAAGCTGATGGGTTGGTGGCTACGGGTTAACTCCCTAGTGACCTGCATCATTATCTTTTGGGAAAACTGCAGTTTGGGGTCTTCCTGGGGACAGCACGGGACACTCTACCTTAGGGCTACTTCTTCATGTACATTTTGCAAGGCTTCCCGGATGTGCTTGGGGACCGGCCTGGCTGTGGTGACACAGGCGTTGGTCTGGAGGTCTGCCGATTTCTTCAGCACCTGCCCGTAGTAGGTCTGACCCAGCGTCCCACAGTGGAGTGAGGAATAGGGAAGGACAAAAAGAACTGTGACTGCAGCGCGAGGGCTCCATCACCACCTCCACCTCCACTTGGCGGACCTCAGTTCCCTGCAAAGGTCCAAGCCTAGACCCTGCCCTACCCCGACTCTAGGAGTCCGGGAGGACAGGGCGCGGGCCAGGCCATACTTCCATCAGCCTAGGCTCCACTTGGGCCATTCCAGGCCCTACAGCTCTCACCTGCACGTCCTTCCGGATCTCAGTGTCGTGGGGGGCGGCCACTGTCGGGAGGGAGAAAGTTAGTTGAAAGGAAGAGGGTGCTGAGGGACGGGCAAGAGGGAGGGAGCCAGTAAAGGGCAGGCAGCGGGCCGAGGGGTGCGGGGAGGACCAAGGTCTCGAGACACAGCTCGGGGAAGGCGCTCGCGTTCCCGCCTTGCGGGGGCCCAGTGAAGGCGCTGGGGGCCTGCCTTGGGGCTGGGGCGGGGCGCCGAGGGCGCGCACTCACTGTCTCCTCGGCCTGCGACTCGGTACGGCGGGCTCCCGCAGCCAGCTCCAGCGCCGAGGCCCCGCCCAGGCTGGCAGGCTTGCTCCGCCCACCCACCCAGCTCCAGCCCCTCGCTCCGGCGCCCACCGCCTGACCCGCAGTCCCACAGTCATCCGCGTTGCTCTACAGGCTTTCCAACCAGGAGGTCGGTATCAGCATCCCCCTTGTTCGCTCCACTGTGATTTTCACGGATAAATCTCTTACTCTGATTTAAATGAACACTCACCTACATAATGATCTTCCCCCCTTTTTTGGGAATGGAATCATCTTTTTTCGATCTGTTTTTTAAAGTCAGATTTATTGAGATATAATTCACATTCCGTAAAATCCATCTTTCTTCAGTGTGCAGTTCTGTGAACTCTGACAAACGTATATACATCACCGTAACGGAGACCCAAACAGCTTTGGCTCGCAAGTTTCTTGGTGCCTCTTTGTAGTAAATTCCCTCTTCCCACCCCCAGCTCCTGGGCAACCACAGATGTTTTCCCTCCCTATAGTTCTGCCTTTTCTAGAATGTCACATAGATGGAACCATTACAGTATGTAGCTGTTCCCAGTTTATTTGGGGTTGTATTTAGGAAAGCAGCTTTGCTAAATTTATTTTTACCTATAGTAATTTTTGGTCAATTCACATGTATTTTCTAGGTATTGTTACTTCATCTTGCATAATTTTTTTAATTTTTAAATTTTTTGAGACAGTCTGTCACCCAGGCTCAACCTCCCAGCTCAAGAGATCCTCCTGCCTCAGCCTCTCAAGTACCACCACACCTGGTTAATTTTTGTATTTTTTTGTAGAGACGGGATTTCACCATGTTGTCCAGGCTGGTCTCCAACTCCTGGGTTCAAGCGATCCGCCTGCCTTGGCCTCCCAAAGTGTCTGAATTACAGGCATGAGCCACAGTGCCAGGCCCGAAAGTATTTTTTGTTTTTTTCAATATGGAACGCTTCACGAATTTGCATGTCATCCTTGCGCAGGGGCCATGCAAATCTTCTCTATCATTCCAACTGTAATATATGTGCTGCCAAAGCGAGCACCCGAAAGTATTTTTAAATTATTTATTTTTACTTCCACAATTATATGCGTATATCTTATATCCTTTTGTGGTTGTGACAAGCATTTCTCTTTGTATAAATTAAAAAATTTTTTTGAGACAGGGTCTCACTCTGTGGCCCAGGCTTAGCATCACTGCACAATTATCTCTGGATCCTTCAACTCTAGCTTCAAACCATCCTCCCTCCTCAGCCTCCCCAGTAGCTGGGACTACCGGTGCAAGCCACCATGCCCAGCTTGTAATGATCATTTCTATTCATTAGGACAGTAAGGAAACAGGAAGATCCAAGTGAAAGGATATTTAAATGGAATAAGTGGACTCCTTTATTCACTTTTCAGTCTCAACTGCCAATAATACAAATATCTGGTTGATATCCAGCTAGTAAATTTTCATCTTCCCTGATGTCAATTAGCTGTTACAAATTAATAGAAAGGTGGTATCTTTTATATTTTTAACAAATTAACCCCACGGAAATAATCCTTGTTGGAATATTTCTATAGGTTGGAATATTTCCAACTAGTATGTGTATAAAACTTAGTGTTTTTATAAGTATCACTTAGTTTTTGGGCAATCATAGAATGGTGAAAACGCTCCTAAATATTAGTTTTCAAAATATTCTCTTCGTAAAATGAGTTTCTTTAGAAAAACAGTTACCTTCTCATAGTTAAAACGATATCTTTATCTTAAAACGGCAGATTAGTGAGAGGTCAAGGAAACGGCTCTATCATTTTTCTCTTGTGCTTGTTTTGTTATCTTTAATTTATGGATTACTTGCAAGAATCATTTGACAATCCTTTTTTTTGAGACGGAGTTTCACTCTTGTTGCCCAGGCTGCAGGGCAATGGCGCAATCTCGGCTCACTGCAACCTCTGCCTCCCCAGTTCAAGCGATTCTCCTGCCTCAGCCTCCCAAGTAGCTGGGATTACAGGCATGCACCACCATGCCTGGCTAATGTTTTGGTATTTTTAGTAGACACGGGGTTTCACCATGTTGGTCAGGCTGGTCTTGAACTCCTGACCTCAGGTGATCCGCCTGCTTCTGCCTCCTAAAGTGCTGGGATTACAGGCGTGAGCCACCACGCCTGGCCAACAATCCTTAAATCTACCTACTCACACACAGATAAACTGCAATAAAACAAACCACTGTCAAGTTAAATTGAGTTATTCTCACTTTTCCTTCATGGTGTCTGGTGTGGGGGCTAATCTTGGATCAGACTGTGACCATCAAACATTCTGATTGGTCAGTGCCTCACCACAGGTTTTGTGAGTTGTTTTACTATCACCCCTGCTAAATGACAGGAATGCTATATAACTGTATACTGGGTAGAACAAATTAGGACTCTCACATTAAGTCGTATTTTAAATACTGGCAAAAGCTTTTTTTTTTTTTTTTTTTTTTTTTTGAGACGGAGTCTCGCTCTGTCGCCCAGGCTGGAGTACAATGGCGTGATCTCGGCTCACTGCAAGCTCCGCCTCCCGGGTTCACGCCATTCTCCTGCCTCAGCCTCCCGAGTAGCTGGGACTGCAGGCACCCGCCACAACGCCCGCATAATTTTTTGCATTTTTAGTAGAGATAGGGTTTCACCGTGTTACCCAGGACGGTCTGGATCTCCAGACCTCGTGATCCGCCCGCCTTGGCCTCCCAAAGTGCTACGATTACAGGCATGAGCCACTGCACCCAGCCTCACAAAAGCTAATTTTTTTAAGATAAAAAATTAACATACATAGAAATTTTCTTCCTTACCCTTCAATGGAGGCCTGTGCACACCGTCACACATTCTATCTTGGAAGCTACTGGCGTGACAATTCCAGGATGATCCAGAAAGGCAGATTTTTGTTAATTACAGAGAACTATCTTTCAAGAAGTGGAGATTTCCAAAAGGATCAGCACCCCTAAGTAAAGGATTCCCCAAATAATGTAAGCAGAAGCCAGATGAATGACTGGATGATGGCTCACCTGAGATGCAGAAGCAGGGGCAAATGGATTGGATTCAGCTACTTCCAAGATCCGTTCCTTTTTTATTATTACTATTTTTTTGAGACGGAGTCTCGCACTGTGACCCAAGCTGGAGTGCAGTGGCACGATCTCAGCTTACTACAAGCTCCACCTCCCAGGTTCACGCCATTCTCCTGCCTCAGCCTCCCGAGTAGCTAGGCCTACAGGTGCCCGCCACTATGCCCAGCTATTTTTTTTTTTTTTTTTTGTATTTTTAGTAGATGGGGCTTCACCGTGTTAGCCAGGATAGTCTTGATCTCCTGACCTCGTGATCTGCCCGCCTCAGCCTCCCAAAGTGCTGGGATTACAGGCATGAGCCACCACACCCGGCCATAGATCTTTTCCCTTTCTAAGAGCTCTTTAGTATTATGTTGAAGACTAGTAATGACAGGTGGCACCCGTTTCTATGCATAAGGAAACCAGCAGGTAACAGAGAGCTAGACTAGTAGTCAAAAGACCTGCCATCAAGCTCAGTGACCTTGGGTAAGTCATTTCATCTTCCTGGCTGTGTTTGTTTCATCTGTAAAACATGGGACCAGAATTTAAGAACTTTTAAGGCCCCATACAGTTCTAATATTCTGGGGTTATATGACTCTTCTTCATCAAATATTATGTTGGGTTTTAAAACATACCCTTTTAAAAAATTCTTTTTGTTTAGTTTTTTTTTGAAATAGAAAGTGTATTTTAAATGCCTTTTTGGTATATATTACAGTGATAAAAGATTTTATTACTTCTTATCAACGTAATGTGTTTTGTAACTATTACATCAACTTTGAAGTTCTGGAGTTACATGAGCAATTATTCAAAATATTTCTCTATTCAGTTTTTTAAGATTTTATTCGGATTTTTGCATCTATACTCATAAAAAAAATCACCTATATTATCTTACATCCTCTTGCATCATCTTTCTTACGTCATTTTATTTTTAAAATGAAAATCCTGTTTACTTCATTAAATGAATTAGTGTCTCATGATCATTTTCTATATTTTGGGAGTATAGGTTCTTTTTTTTTTTTTTTTTTTGAGATGCAGTCTTGCTCTGCCTCCCAGGCTGGAGTGCAGTGGCTCAATCTTGGCTCACTGCAACCTCCGCCTCTTAGGTTCAAGCAATTTTCCTGTCTCAGCCTCCCGAGTAGCTGGGATTACAGGCGCATGCCACCATGCCTGGCTAATTTTTGTATTTTTTAAGTAGAGATGGGGTTTCACCATGTTGGCCAGGCTGGTCTCCAACTCCTGACCCTGTGATCCGCCTGCCTTGTCCTCCCAAAGTGGTAGGATTACAGGCATGAGCCACTGCGCCCAGCCAGGAGTGTATGTTCTTTGACAGTTCGGAAAAGTCTCATGAAAGCCTTCACAAGCAAATGCCATTTTAATTGGTTATTCTTAGTTTGTGGGTTCTCATAACCAATCCGGAATATTCTCCATTAGGTTTCAGTTTTGTAATTTTTTATATTTATAAGGAGCTGGGCATATATTAATCAAATTTTTAGCAGCAAATTGATAACTTTGTTCAAATCTAATTGATTTTATATATTGCCTATTCAATTACGAATTTACTAATTTGTACTTTTCTGGCTGAGCTAAAACTTTACCAATTTATTTATTTATTTATTTATTTTTTTTTTGAGACGGAGTCTCGCTCTGTCGCCCAGGCTGGAGTGCTGTGGCCGGATCTCAGCTCACTGCAAGCTCCGCCTCCCTGGTTCCCGCCATTCTCCTGCCTCAGCCTCCCGAGTAGCTGGGACTACAGGCGCCCGCCACCTCGCCCGGCTAGTTTTTTGTATTTTTTAGTGGAGACGGGGTTTCACCGTGTTAGCCAGGATGGTCTCGATCTCCTGACCTCGTGATCCGCCCGTCTCGGCCTCCCAAAGTGCTGGGATTACAGGCTTGAGCCACCGCGCCCGGCCAACTTTACCAATTTAATCTATAAGAACTACTTAATACTTTTTATTTTTTCTAATTTATTGTTTCTAATTTGTTTAGTTTTATTATTTCCATTTTGATTTCTTTCTAAATTCTAACTATATACCCCTTTAAAAAAACAAAAATATTTCCACCCTATCCCTAATACAGAGATTTAAAGCATGATAATTTTCTTATAGTATTGCTTTGGTATTATCACATAAATTTTCTTGCATGGCATTTGAACATTTATTATTTTAAAAATATTATCTTCCAGCACATCCTCTACAACTTAGACGTTACTTAGCGAAGTATTTTTTTCCATGTTTTTGATCACCATTTAATTCCATGTATGTTGTTTATTTCTATAAAAAAAAAATCAAATAATGTATACATTTCCACCTGTTCTCACATTTCTGGCTACTTTTCTTTCATATATTTTGTTACAATGTTCTCTAGTGACTAAATTCAGTACAAATACATTTTCATTATTTAATATAAATTTTATCTTATATTTACTATTAAAATTTTGATTGTGAAACATATATTTTATCACATACAATGTAAGCAATTGTTGCTTCTTTAATATTTGTTCCAGCATGAAGAAAACTTAGACCATCCCTTCATTTTAATTTTTTTCCAACTTAAGTATTTCTTTGCTTCTTGTAATGACTGCACTTAGCTTTGTTTTCTAAATTAGTGGTCTTCCTTTTCAAAGGTAAATTGAATCCATCTGTATTTAATAATACTGCAATTAATACATATTTACAGAATTAGTACATAAATTAATGCCT